CCCTGGGTGGTGCTATGTGGAGCACCCCCAATGACCCCCAGCTCCACTTTAGTGAGGTTTCCCTTTTTGCAGTTTCACAGTAATAATTACAGTTACTTGGCACAGTTCCAGTCCATGGAAATCAAGTTATATTTATGTGCTCAAAATGAAGTGAGGACCAGAAACACTCTTCCCACTTTATCCCATGAAAGCCAGTAGCAGCTAAACAAACCCTGCTCTGTGGACCCCGTCCTCGAATTTGACATGTTATTTTTATGCAAAATACTTGTGTATTTTTTCAGAATTTCTAAATTTATTTACTTTTGTTTTTATCTTGTCTTTCTATTTCTGAAATGTTTTTCCACCTGAGTTACTTAAACATACCTACTACTCATCATGCCACTTCTTTGAAATGTGAAATTCTCAGTGCGTTTTCCAGTATACTTATTATTTCATTTGTTGTTTTTAAGTGTTTGAGCCTTCTGGGACTTATTTTGTGTCTATGAATTCCGTGGTTGGAATTCACTGACTTGTTTCCACGGAATGCAATGCAGTCTTGACCGTGTCCTCACTGCTTATGCAACTTCAGATGAAAGTGGGTTTGACAAAGAAGGGCAGACTGGCCTAGCTGACAGTTGGGGATCCCAACCACAGTCTTATGAAACAAAGACACTTTGTCAGGTGGCAGGAGGGCCACATCCACCCTAAGATCTGGCCCTAGTTTGGAGCTCCCAGCTCCTCATGGGTCGCAGGGAAAAGAGCCATGGAGACCACCAAGCCGTGGTCCTTGCTACAGGCTGTGTGACAGGCACTCAGATGACCCAGAGTAGCCAATCCGCGCGGGGCAGGGCGGGTCTTCTGCTGGTCAGTTCGGAAACCACGGGCCCTGCCTCCTGCCCCGCCCTTTCAACTTCTTCTGACCGCTCATTGGCGGGCAGAGCCCGGGATCGCAGCACTGATTGGCGAGTTTTTCCCACAAGCTATCCTGGTATGGGCTCCAAGGCAGCGAGGTGAGGGGCAGGAGGAGCCTGAGCTGTCCTCCTGACATGGACCTGGTTTAGGTCAGGCTGCATCTCAGGAGTTAACCAGTGGGCAGACTTTGCTTGTCCAGCGAACACGCAGGATGCAGAACAGTGAATCGTACAGCGAGGGGCTATTCCTGTAAACTTTCAAGTGTGCAATATCATCGTACATATTTATAGACACATTAATAATGAGTAAATGTATAAGAATATACAAGTGAATAGGGAATAACTAATTCAGAAGAGTTGTTCAAGAGAGTGAGGCAGGTCTGGCCGGTGAGGAGTGTCCCCATACCTGGTTGCCCAATGCCCTGCACGGAGACAGACGGGAACATATTAACCATGGTGATTCTGAGGGCTGGGGGGAGGGCCAGGGTCGGGAGTGGTTGATCAATGTATTATTTCCTAACGTCAGCCATGGTGCCAATCTGTCTAGTATCATGAGTGTTTGGTAGGTAGGGTCAGTCCACTTTCATGAGTCTGGGATTGAAACACAGCTGAAGCCAAGATGTGATCTTCAACTTGACTGGAATTCTGCTTCTGTGGTCATCAGACTGTGGATGCTGACCAGAGTGTAATAATTAAGGAACGGTGTGGATGGCCAGTATGTACACAGGGGCAGAATACCAGAGAAAGGAGGTGAGGTGGTCGTGGTGCCCTTAGCCCAGGCAAGGCCAGTTAAAATGAAGAAAACAGGATGAAGAAAGGGTTGTGTTAAAGACATGGAGTTTCTGTGCAGTTACTGTTATTACATTTTTGTCAGGAGAGGCCAATTTATTTTTTAATAAATGTAATAGATGCTTTATGAACATAGGATGAATCTCTGATGACACTTTGTCTATTTATTTTATCATTCTAATGAAAATAGTGGATGGCCCCAATAGAAGCCTAGGCCTTAATGATACCTTGAAAACATTTTCCAATCATCCTGGTATTGTTCTTGGACTACTTCATTCAGAAGTCTGTGTCCCTAATAAGAATCTCCAGATTCTGGAAACATTTACCAACCAAAACACCAATTTCTAATCATCTTTTAGTAAAACTTTCTTGGGTGGCCTTCAGAAAGGAACAGAGTAAACACCAGAAGGTATTTCCCAAATCCTGTTGACACGAAAATTTTCCCCATGGATAGAAATGCAGGTAAGAGTAGGGAAATGCAGAAAGTATCCTAGGAACTGCTGCCTTCCTTTCCTGGTCTCTCCACAACATTATCCAACATTATCATCTTTTAAAAAAGATTTTATTTATCGATGTTTTAGAGAGAGAGGAAAGAAGAAAGAAAGTAAGGGAGAGAAGCATGTGGGAGACACACCTGTATAGGTTGCCTCTCACACCCCCCTAGTGGGAAACTTGGTTCCCAACCCAAGCGTGTGCCCTGACCGGGAATGGAACTGGTGACTTTTCAGTCTGTAGGCCAGTACTCAATCCACTGAGCCACACCAGCCAGGGCTCATCATCATCTTAATAGATAAGAACTACAGCAGCAGTAGTAACTACCATTGATTTCATTCTCACAATGTTTCAGACTTTAAGAATTGTATGTGAATAAACTCACTTAAACATCATAACAAGCCGATGAGGTATATGCTATAACTGTCACGATTTACGATGAGGAAAGTGAGCTTTCAGAGATATAGAAATGTTTGACTGTATGTCTAAGATCACAGTATCAGTGATAGTGCAATCTAACCCATAGTTGCTTCTCTAAACCACTTACAAACTCATTAAAACTTTCATAGTTTTATCCTTGCCACTGTGACTCGGTTGGGTGTCATCCTACAAAGGGAAAGATCGCCAGTTTGATTTTTGGTCAGGGCACATCCCAGGGTTGTGGTCCAGGTTCCTGGCTGGGGTGTGCACAAGAGGCAAGTGATCAATGTTTCTCTCTCACGTCTATGTTTCTCTCCCTTTCCTTCTGCTTCCATTCCCTTCTCTCAGAAAAGAAAATAAAATCTTTTTTTAAAATTAGAGAAATAAACTTTCATAGTTTTCTGAAGTTTACATTGTCTTATCCATATGTCATTACATCATTCATCTGACTGACTGTTTCAACCAAAAGTCTCTGCTGTGCTGAAGTGAGAGATACACTAAGGCCCTCTGACTAAGGAAAGCATACCATGTGCAGGCAGTTGGTACAGTGGATGGTGAAGAAGAATGTAAAATGTCTAGAGTCACAGCCTCCCACTCTGATCATAGAAAGCATCTCCCACCCCATGAGGAGCTTCAGGTTTGATGATTGAGAAACAATAAATAATCAAATGACTTGAGGTCTTCATAAAGGTTATACATTCTTCAACAGAAACTCATCTGTCTGAAACTAATTTCTTTTTTAAAGAAACTTTTTAAAAAAGATTTTATTTATTTATCTTTAGAGGGGAAGGGAAAGAGAGAGGGAAAGAAATATCACTGTATGGTTGCCTCTCATGTGTTTCCCACTGGGAACTGGCCTGCAACCCAGGCATGTGCCCTGACTGGAAATCCAGTCGTGATCCTCTGTCTGGTTCACAGGCCCGCACTCATGGAACTAATTTCAAATGCTATTTCTTATAGGGTGAAGTAACCACTTCTTTCTCTGAGTTCTAATGAGGCCACTCTCATCCACTTTAGAATCGTTTATTCAGCCTGCCTACTCTGCGTTGTGAGCTCTTTGAGAGCCTGTTTCATACCTAAGGCTTCTTGGAGGTCACAGGCCCAGATCAGGGCCCCAGAGGGCCCCCAAATGTTTGCTGAATGACTTCACAATTACAAATTAAATTAGAAGATCAATGAATACTGAAGGTAATTTCTGTGAGATTTGAAATATGGAGAGACCTGAAGGGTGAATTGATAGAGAGACTTTAATCTCACATTCATACTGTATTACACAATTCACAGGGCACTTTGGTCAACAATATTTAACTGCACATTCACAATAACATTAAAAATTAGCATGTTATGTATCAGGAAACTGAAGACAACTAGCTACTGGTACAGCCTTATCCTTCACTCTCAGTATTATAGAGACAGTTGAAAGAAAAGAGCCATAAGGCATGAGTTCTAATCTTGGATTCATTACCCACATTGGCCCTATCCCCTCATATTTATTCTCCCTAGGTATTTCCAAGGGTTAGAAGTTTTAAAGACATGCATGTAAAATATATCATAAGCCTTAAAAAATTAAATACATGTTATCCTTTAACATGTGATTCTTATATTGAAGGAGACATCCAGAGTGCCATGAAACAATGAATACAGTTTGAAGGAATTGTCAGGAACTGCAAATTTGGTGACTGCAAGTGACTCAGAGCATGCCCAGAAACCAATGTCCCCTCCTAGAGAAACATGTGCTTTTGGAAAGCACACTAGACAAAAATCGGATAAGAGAAAATACTTTGGAAACTTTAGTTCCTCTAAGTCCTACAGAAGGACTGATAAGTATGACCTAGGTATGTGAGGCACACTTTGGGTAGGCCTGGATTTAAGCTGGGCTAAGCAGAGACTGAAGTTACCACTGGACGTTTGGCAAATCCTATAAATTCTCTGAGCTCCTGCAGGCTAATGTGTAAAGTGAAGATAAGGAAACATCACTCATATTGTTTGAAAACATTAAATTGAGTTTAAAACAGGTGACACATGCAAGTTGTCCAATAAGTCCATCTGTGATAATAGCAACCACACTGTACTGGTGTTGTGTGCCCAGGCCTTTACTCAATGCCTAACACATAATGTGCACTCAATAAACATTTTATGAATGATTAAAGGTTGGCAAGTTAAACCTGGTAATGGGAAGATCTAGAAACTAAAATTGAATCACTCATCTGTAGTTAGTGTGGCATCTTAGTTTTCTGAACCAATAGTTAACAGTAAAATACCAGAGTATGCAAAAGGACAGGTAATAAATTGATGGGAGGAGATTGTGTGTTATCTGACAAAATGGGAACTAACACTCCAGACCCCACCAACCTTGCTCATCTGCTCTTCTCCAACTCAGAACTCAGGAGAAAGGAGATTGACTTGAAGATGTACAGCCTAAGAGAAAGGAAGGGCTGTGTTTACCAAGAGGTCACCGAGCCCCAGGATGATGACTACCTTTGTAAGTGACCCTCACCAAGAAGCAAGTTATGATACAATAATTCCATCTAGTCCTTTGGTCCCCAAATCATTCCCTTCCTCTAGTGACCTGAAGTACAGGATTCAGTCTCAGTGGTGTCAGTTCTGGACTCTCTCTGAAGGTCTTTGTGTCCAGGAACAGGCGCTATACCTTCCCTAACCCCTGTCATTCTCGCCTCCAGATTGCAAGAAATGTCAGAACTTCATCAACAGCTGTGCTGTGCATGGACCCCCTACATTTATAAAGGACAGTGCAGTGGACAAGGGGCATCCCCACCGCTCAGCCCTCACCCTGCCCCCTGGGTTGCGAATCAGGCCATCCTGCATCCCTGAGGCTGGGCTTGGAGTGTGGAATGAGGCAGCTGATTTGCCAGTGGGTCTGCACTTTGGCCCTTATGCAGGACACATCACAGAAGATGAAGAGGCAGCCAAGAGCAGATACTCCTGGCTGGTGAGAACTATTTACCTCTTCCACTGTCCTCTGGCTTCCCACATTCCTTCTGAAATTTGGAGGGACCTCACCTCTTATGTGCTAGACATGGAGGAGACGATGTGGTTAGCTCTGTGTACTGACTGGACTTCACATGGACACAGAGCTCCTGTTTAAGGGTCAGAGTGTAAGTGGGAGCAAAGTAGTGCAGACACAAAGGAGTGGCTCCTCCCTTGTGGGGCTCCTGCTCTGATTGGACAGGTAGACTCAGATGTGTAAGTGATGAATAAGAAAAATATCACGTGGTCACAGCTGGCAGTTGAATCCCCATGCAGGCTGAATGAGCTTTGATGACTGTGGAGTAAAATAATTCTGACTATTACCTTCCCACCAAAAAAATAAAAGGTCTTTAACTTCTTTTCTGAAACACAGATCACCAAAGGGAGAAACTGCTATGAGTATGTGGATGGAAAGGACAGATCCTGGGCCAACTGGATGAGGTGAGGTCAACTGGTCTCTGGGTGTCAGAGGGGACACTGATCCACCAAAAGCCCATATATCTTTCCCACTCATCATGCCTCCCTCAGTGGTCTCCTTTAATCCTTTTTTCCCTTTTTTCCCCCCATACAGTGTTCTTTCATTTCAGGGGACATTTAGAAAAAAAGTGTGACATATGTCCTCAAAATATAAAGCTCCCAACTAGACACAACTTGGGCACTGGAAAGGTCCTTCAAGACCCTAGATTCACCAGGGACACTGGATTACACTCTGTTTTATCAAATGAACATTAATTAAGCACTTACTATATTCCAGTTATGGTGAAGGAATACGTTACTTCAAATTACACAACCCATGTCATTATGGAGGACCTCTCACAGACAGACATAAAAACAACTGCTCTCAGAAACTGTAATTTTCAAGAAGCACACAGTGTCAAGATAGCACAAAACAATGGTGGCCTAAACCTGTGAGGGCAGCAAATCATCCCATCCTCACTCCAAACCAGAGCTGGACTTGGAGACCTACAGAGGAACGGTCATGGTCCCCTTTCCTGAGAGGGGCTCTCTTTTATCAGGGATAACAGAATGTGAATCAACTACTATTGTTCTGTTTTATTTTATTAAGACAAAGAGACCTCCAATTTTCTACAGTAACCTCAGGCAAGTGAAGGGTACCCTACATAAAGTGTAGGGGGGTTGGAGAAAGGCCTCTCAAGAGAAAACAGATGTGGACTGAGTACTGAGTAATTAGTGAACTAATTTAGAAGCAGAGCCCAAGATCAAGCATCAGGTTCTGTGGTGTTAGACAACTTGATTTAGAGTTTGGAGAATCCAGATATCACTGGATATTATGGCCAATCAGGGTGCAGATTAAGTCTAGAACTGGGTTATAGAAAACGGTATTAGGCAAGATGAACACTGCAAGCAGGACTTGCAGGTAGGAATTCACATGACATGCTGACAGATGCTCTGACACTGAACAGAAGGTTCTCTGGGAGCATTAGGGGCAGTGGGCAACACCAGAGCCTGAGGGCCTTAAGAATCAGTGAGGAGCTGGGCATGGATATAACAGGTAGTGGGAATTCCTCACCATGGTTTTCTTTCCCTTCCTCTGCCTCAATCCCAGGTTTGTGAACTGTGCTCGGGATGATGAAGAGCAGAACCTGGTGGCCTTTCAATACTATGGGCAGATTTCCTACCGAACCTGTCAGGTCATCAGGCCAGGCTGTGAGCTGCTGGTCTGGTTCGGGGACGAGTATGGCCGGGAGCTGGGCAGCAAGTGGGGCAGGAAGTAGAAGAGAGAGCTCGCGGGTGGGAGAGGTGGGCACCACTGTTCTTCAAACCAGAAAGAAAAGAGAATTCTCCATAGAAATATTCGTGACCCAACTCTTAAGTGAAGTAAAATCCACTCTAAAGTCAGTCAAGTTTCATCTGAGATGCTTCAGAAATTCGCAATGCATTCATATGCCTTTGACTCTTAGGCAAAGTTTTTATATTTTTTACTTTTAAAATATTTCATGCCCAAAATATACAACTTATTTTAGTGCTAAAAGGCTGACAGACAAAAAACTTTTCAAGCACTAACCAGCTCTCTCACCAAGGCAGTTTTTCTAACATTTTTATAGCTGTTTCTTCTTAATTTTCCTCCATACTTCTAAATACAACATATCTTATAGGCATTCATTTTTTATTACAGGTTTTGCCCCGGCTGGTGTTGCTCAGTGGATTGAGTGTCAGCCTGCGAACCAAAGGGTCGCCGATTCCCAGTTAGGGCACATGCCTGGGTTTTTGGCCAGATCCCCAGTAAGGGGTGCTCGAGAGGTATGCACAGATGGATGTTTCTTGCCCTCTCCCTTCCTCCATTCCCCCATTTCTGAAAATAAATAAATAAGTAAACCAAATCTTTTTAAAAAAAGAGTTGGAAAGGAGGGAGAAAAACATCTGTACAAGGAAACAACATCAATCAGTTGTCTCTGGCACACTCACAACCTGACTGGGAATCAAACTTGTAACCTTTCACTTTGTGGGACAACACCCAACCCACTAAGCCACACCATTCAGCCAGGGCACATTCTTTCACTACTTCAGTGAATTGTCAGGTGAGATCCTACTCCGTGGCACACAGGGCGGTGGGACCTGGAAATACAGATTAACATGAGGAGAGAATCGCTGCTCTTGAGAAGCTGATGGGTAAAGGAGGGAAACCCAGGTACATGAGCTTGAATGTGCATAACACTACTCAGCAGTTAGTGCTTTGGAGAAAACTAATCCAGGACAAGTGCCTAGGGATCAGTGTGAGGGGAGGTGTGGTGGTGTGGCAGGTGGTCCTGGAAGGGCTCTCTAAGGAGATAACATTTACAAAGATACCTGGGGGCAGAGGGAACAGCTAGTGCAGGGAAGAAAAGAGGTGCGGCATTGAATTGGCTGAGGGTCACTTGCGTCTTTTCTCAGCATAGAGGGTAAGAAGACAGATCAGACAGATGCTTAGCTGCCCAGAAATGCACTCCCAATGATCCCAGAAGAGACATTGGGGACTCTCCTGAGTGAAAGTGTACAGTCATCAGTTGTAGTGTGTTCTTTGTTCTGATTAGGTTTTGTTCATTTTTTGAAGGTAAACTCCAGTGGGGAATCCCATCAGATTACTTCATCTCCAAGTGAGAGCGCATGGTGGGTTGGCCAAAGAGGAACAGGAGTCAGGCATGTAAAAAATGTGCTTGAAATATTTTGAAACAGGTCCTCTCAGTGTATTTGAAATGGGCTAACACTGAATGAGATGAAGCATAAATATCTGGTGTGAGGCTTGAGGAAGGACATTTAATTTTATTATTTTGGAAAACAGAAAAGCAATTCCTACTTGGGGCCTCTGGTTTTCCTCTTTAACATGACATAGAAAATACCTACAGATAGGAAAGGTTACTGCAGTTCCATCCACACGGTGAGTGAAATGGCCTCTCATGCTCCTCAAAAGTCCCTAGTCTGAGCATAATTAGGAAAGACCCTTGATGTGGGCTTTCTGGATTTCAGAAGAAGATGCACTGCATAAAAATAAATAGGAAAATAGACAGCGAGTGGACACAGTGGGAGACGGAGCTTGCGTTGTCACCACAGTAAGAAGTACTCATGGGGCAGGTCTTACCAGGAGACTAATCAGACGTCCCATATATTCTCATCAACATCTGCCCTGACCAGACCTTTCTCTTTCAGCAGAACCAAATCCAGAGGTGCACCCATGTTCCTCCTGCTCTCTGGCCTTCTCCAGTCAGAACTTCCTCAGCCAACATGTGAAACTCAATCATCCCTCTCAGATTCTCTTGGGAACAACTGCAAGAAAACAGCTCCAAGCAGAGGAACCCTGCCCAGAGGATCAGAATCAACAGCAGCAACATACTAGTATGCATAGATGGAATGATAAAATGAAGGTCAAGAGGTCAAAGAAAGGTCCAAATCTTTGCTTAAAAAGATCAGTGAGAGGAGAATCTCAGGACCCTTTCAACCTTCCAAAGAAAGAATGACGAGCTCTAATGAGCATGAGAAAATGATGGAGGAAGAGCCTCGTAGAGGCCAGAAAGACAGTCCAGAGGACATGGGCAAGTTATTTGTGAAAGCAAGAAAGTCAAGAATTGCAACAAACAAGCATGGAGGGTGTTGACAAGGCTTCAGTGATGGGTCACATCTCATCAGAGACCAGAAGACACACTCAAGGGAGAAGCCCTATGTTTGCACAGACTGTGGGTGAGGCTTTCCTCACAAGTCAGTTCTCATCAGACACCAGAAGACACACTCAGGGGAGAAGCCCTTTGTTTTCAGGGATTGTGAGTAAGGATTTACACAGTGGTCAAATCTCACACATCAGAGGACATACTCAGGGGAGAAGCCCTATGTCTGCAGGGAGTGTGGATGAGGGTTTACACAGAAGTCTGTTCTTGTCATACACTAGAGGACACACTCAGGGAAGAAGCCCTATGTGCACAGAGTATGGGCAAGGCTTTACACAGAGGTCACATCTCACACACCAGAGGACACATTCTGGGGAGAAGCCCTATGTCTGCAGGTGAAGTGAATAAATCATTATCATTAAATCACATGTCGGTAGCCTTAAGAAGTATATGGAACCTTATTGTCCCCAAGAGTGTAATTAGTACAGAAGTAACTGGTTAAACAAACCCTCCAGTTTCCTGACAAGAGATGAGATGGGCAAACAGTTCCATCAGTGATGTGTGGATATCAGCACCAATCTCTTTCATGGTATTTTTTTTTGATGTCCTATTCTAATAAGTTTCATCCCTCATTTCCCCATCACTGAGAGCAGAGAGTTCCAGAAGAGCCACAAAGAACTCATACTCTCAGCCACAAAAATTCAACTCCTGCAAATGGGTAAGTCTGGAGTCAGTCTACTTTGGTTACTGCCCCGAGAAGGATTTGAGACAGATTCACCAGGGAAGGAGATTCCCTGGACTCCTGGGATGTGGGGTCTTTTCTCCTAATAGGCTCCCTACCCTCCTCCCTTGGCTTTTCTTGGCTCTTCTGGTTTCCTACAACCTCTGGAGCCTCAGAGGTGAACAGCAGGGAGGAAAGTGTGCTTGTGCACGGATGTGAGCCTGGCTCAGTCTGGGCACCTGGTCTTCCTCACTCTCTTTGCTGCCCCTTCAGGGTCAGCACTTCCTGGTGCACAGCATACACATTCCCCATCAGTCCATAGTGGGTGTGAGTCTCAGCTCTGTCTTCTCCAGCTGTGTGACCTAAGACAAGACTCTCAACTTCTCTCTGCCTGCTTCCTAGTCTGTACAATGGAAATGCGAGCTCCAGCCTTTCAGTTTGACTTTCAAACTGGAGTCAGCACAGACAGAATCTGGCAAGAGGATTGCTGAGATCACAAGTCCTGACGAACAGCCTTCAGTGCCCATGTCTTCTGGGTTTTAAGTGCTGGAAAAAGGAAGATAAGGACAGCATAAGGGCCTGTAGCTAAGTTGAGAATTTGAGCAGACCCCACTGCTTTCCCCACATAGACTCAACTGCCCTGAATAGGAAGCATGAGGTTGGGCCAGTGCTTCTCTCCAGATCACCACCCTCTCACTGAGCCTGGGCATCCTCAGAGCCTCCTCAACACAGGCAGGTGGGACTGAGAGTGACCTGTGAAACAAGCCCCTTGGCTACCCCTAGCTGAGGACTGACAGGGGGAATAGTACCTGCCTGCACTGGGGTGTGAGGATAGGTAGTAAGCCAAGGCAGGGAGGACAAGGAAGATGTGTGTCACCCACTGACTCAGCAGTCCTGAGCCTAGTCCAATTCCATTGCCAGATGTTCCAGCATCACAAGAAGCACCATGCTAATGTGTTGAAATTCTAGGTATTGTTTCCACTATCTGGGAAAGAAAGGCTTTCAACCTGTATTCATCCCAAGGCCTAGAAGATGGGAGGGGGCCCACAGCACTCAAGGAAAGGGCCCATAGAACAAATTTGGTTAATAGCTTTCCTCTGTCCACTATCTGTTTTATGACAGGGTCCCTAGTGCTTACAGGAAGAGCCCATCGGTAACTTTGGGTAGCTGCCTCAACTTATACTGTCTCCTGTCATGGATCTATTTTACAGGATGGCCAAGTGGAGTCAGAATCAAGATAAGGATTCAGGCTAACGACCCCCACACATACCTACGTTTGGGTAGTCCATCCCTTTGGAAGCTGGCACCACTTTAACCCACCAACTATATAAGTCCTCAGGACAAAGGGCTTGGTGCTCTTTCCATCTAAGCTCTTGCCTTTCACCCCCACCTCAGCAAGACCTGTCCTCTTCCATGAGAATGTATCACTAATAAACCCTGCTTGCACGCTAATACACTTGATGATCTGTATTACTGCAATCCCTTACTGCGTTGGCAAAAACAGTTTCTCCTGTGACAGGTGCACCCAATCTGCATACAGCATTCATGAAGCCTGCAACACAGCAGGTTCTATAATGCACTCTCTTTGTACCTGTGCCCCACAGAGTTTAATGCACCGCTGACACCATCTCGAAATTATTACTTATTGTATCTTTGAACTTGTTTGTGCAGGCTGATGGGATAGTAGACATGCACAATGTTGGTCATTCCTGGCCACCTGTTCCCAGATAATGTCCACAATGGCACAGGAGCACAAAATTCCTGTAGACCCAATGGGTAGGAGTCCAGCAAGACTCAGGGTGAGAACAGGGTAAACATCTACATCTGTATAAGCATAAGGAAGGGTGCTAATAGCTCCCAGAGGTCACACTTAGAACGAGAGCTGAGTTCAATACACAGAGATGTCAAACATTTAGTG